GCCGGCCAGTTTCCGCCCCGTCTTGGCACTCGTTCTGTTAACCGTGTTTCTCTCGATCATCTCAAAGATGGAGTACGCGGCAGTCCTTGCTCTCAGAAACGTGGAGATGTTTGGTGCTGCCTGGCCTAATGACCTGTACAACAAGGCATCTATCTGTGAGATCACGACGACCTACAAATTGTGACACTGAAGACGAGAGATGAGGAAAAATAGAGAAGAATCTGAAACCAGAGATGGGGAAAAATAGAGAGAGCATTGGAACAGCTGAACGAGACTTACAGCCCAGCGATGACGACGTTGAGCATGGTGGTGAAGGATTCTCCTCCGTTTGCTATTTTCTTGTGGACGACGATGCTGGTGAACCAGACGAGGAGAGCCCAGGAGAGGAAGAGAACGCAGTGCATGGAACCAAGGCCGAGTCCCTTGGCCAAGCCACCCTTCTTCCCATACTCGTACGTATTCATCAACGCACTTCTGTACGACCTCACCGCCTTCTCCTCCCCCACAAACGCTTGCACGGTGCGCACATTGCCGATCACCTACCCCAAGAGAAGCACTGAACACACATTAAGAGGAAGAAGAAGAAGAAGAAGAAAAAGAAAAGATGGTACTGAATCTAATGGTTTCAGAATGGAGAACAGAGACCTCCTCAGCTATTTCTCCGGCCTTGACGTAGGATTTCCGGACTCGAGCAATTAGGCCAGTGGCGACGTAGGCGTAGATTCCACCAGCAATGGCGATCAACGGGACGATGGACAGTGTGACCAGACTGATCTGCCAGACGCGAGCGAAGCCGATGGCAAATCCTGCGATGAATCTGCTGATGTAGTGCATGAAGTTTCCCACCTGCATGCGGTGCCATACGTCAGTCATGTTCGGGAACGAAAATATTCATGGAATCATATATGCCCTTGCTTGCATTCGCAGTACACGAAGAATCAAAATCCGCATCATCCACAATCTAATGCAAGTACGTACCATAGAATTTACAAGCAATTCAGCATGTTTTTTTGTTTTTTTGGCCAGACAACTAACAGACCGAACATAGGGCCAATCTACTGTAGATTTTTATCAGCTTCAGCTAAAATACCCCATCATGCAAATTAATTAACCCTTCTCATGGTGAGAGATGCAGCTTCGAGGATTTAACCACCTCATGGTTTTCCCTACGCCTGAGCCCAATTCAAGCCTTCCATAAAAGCTTCACAGGCCAAGCATAGATTTGATGACACTCGATGGCTACGAGTTCCGCAGTGAAACAAGGAAAAGATACAATGCGTCTCGTGAATATGAGAATAAATGATGGCAACATGACTCGTCGAACACCACGGCATGCGGAGGTAGAAGAATTATTTCTGCAGCATTTTCCCGCGATGCAACTTAATGCGCAACAGTCAAGCTTCACCTCTCTCTCTCTCTCTCTCTCTCTCTCTCTCTCACTCACTCTCACTGTACGATGACCTTGATTTCTGCGTTGAGACAGAGCAGACTCCAGCGTTCCAGCTCAGCTTGGGGCCACGCCCATTAAATAAGGGAAGAGGGAGGTCACAGGATGAGATGAAAGATTCATATGCTGTCTTTCGTTACAGTAAAAAAACAAATGCATCAGGCTGGTAGCTGTTTAGATATCGGCATGTAATTGCTACTACGGAATAGATGATGACTAGTACTTGAAAAAGAAGGACTGCAGCTATAAGATTTAGATTATTAACATGTAAGAAACTAACGCTCGAGAGAAGTAAAATAATATCCATATCCAATTTTAAAATTCACAACATGTCGTATTTCATCGGTGAAGCATTCACCAAACCATGTAATCTGTCTTGTTTCTGATGTCAACCAGGTTTTCCAAAGAAAGTGATGTCCCACATTACTCGGTCAATCACAAATGTGGCATAGCATTTATGAACCAAACCTACCCCCGGAAGGCACTCGGACAGTTGTATAAAGTAAGATTTGCTGGCGTAGCCAAAAGAAGAAGAAGAAGAACAGTGAGATTAGCAGATATTTATTAGGTCACTAAGATGAGTTTTAGAGAAGAAGAAGAAGAACAACAACAACACCGAGATTAGCAGATATTTATTTTTAGGTCACTAACCAAGTTTTAGATGAGTCAATAATGGAAAATATATTTTTAAAATTTAATTAATGATGCTACTTTGTATAATGGTCGCAATCAGTCACATTACAAATATATTTAAGATTAAATAAATAAATAAATAAAGTTTGAGGATCCATGTTACCTCCCAATCGTGACTTAAGTTGCGACAAGAAACAACGCACAATCAATTCTGAGGAGGGTTCTTTGTGATATTGAACGTTTCTCTCCTTGCCTTCACAATTAATGGGTGCAACAACTCCAATTTATTTCCAAGGCACAGGAAATATTTGTGGCAGGCACGCACAAGGAAAGAGACACGCCATCTAATTTACAAGATGGGGAGGTGTTTCCTTCGATTTTATTTTATTTTCTTGAAAAAGCATCTGCTCAAAATAATAATAATAATAATAATAATAATAATAATAATAATAATAATAATAATAATAATAATGCATTCATGGCCCACTAAACACCAACCTCAACGTTCAACAATCTCACCTAAACACTATCATGAGTATATGGTGGACATTACATGAAAACAAATCATGGAAATTGTACGTACCTTCTCGGAGATGGCATCCTGCACCACAATAATATCGCTTGTAATGGCTGCAATCACCTCTCCGGTGGAAGCCTCCGTATCAAACACCGCTATGTCCTGATCTAACATGGAACGCAGGTAAGCCAGCCTCATCTTCGCCGCCTGTCTCTCTCCTGTGTGCATCCAACAAGCCACCTCTGCAAAACACCAAGAGGCTCATCATCGTCAACCTTGGTCCAAGTTTCTTCCAGCTTTCCATCTCTCTCTCTCTCTCTCTCTCGTCTTACCGGTCCACGAGGAGAACAATATGGCAATGCCCAGATAAACGAAATCCAGCGAGTACTGCAGTGAAAGGATCGGAGATCTCAGGCCAGATGTTGCATGTATCGTTTGCAGCTGGGCGCAGTCGTGCGTACCTTGGCGACCCGGTGTGAGACCGTGGTGGGGAAGAGGAAGGCGACCCCGATGATGTTGATGAGCTTGCCGAAGAAGATGAAGAAGACGGGCACGGACGCGCCGTGCGCGCAGGCGCCGATGGAGCCGAGGGCCATGAGGAAATAGTCCCATGTGTCGGCGAAGGCGAAGAGCTTGAGGAAGGGGACCTTGTGCACCTCCTTCTTGCTCGCCCCGTCTTCATGGCTGCTCTCAGGGCCTACCACCGAGTTCATCTTCTTTTCTGGGAGGGGGAGAGGAGAGGGAAAAGAGAGAAATAAGGGGGGGGCGCGAGGGAGGAGCTGTGCCAGTACTAAGCTACATTGCTCGGAGGGGGAAGGCTATGAGGAGGCTTTTGGGTTCAGTGGTCGGGGTGGCAATTGAGGAAGGTTGTGCCATTACTGCGCCCAAACAACCGGCTTGACCCATGATTTCGGAAATATGATTACTTCCGACTTTATGAGTCATGAGATGTCACGAAGCATACGAAGGCCGTGCATGGCCAGCTCAAGTCGAGAAATGTAGGTGAAGTATGATGGCCGTGCATAGGAAGGCCGTGCTTGTCCAGCTCAAGTCGCGAAATGTAGGTGAATTATATATGCACACCAAACTCCTACTTTACTACATCTCATCTGGTCCAAGCTATAGCTGAAACCATCCAACTTACTAACCCAGTTCTATCATTCAATTAATAATCGGACTGGATGTGGATGAAAACCGTGCTCAACGTCTTGATGTTGCCATGGCTTTTGGATTTGGATTAACTGGGGGAGAACAGCTTCGTCGAGACTCTTCTTCTCCGCTGCGCGTTTTGGTTTGCGGAGATACTGTTCTACAGCTTACTAATTAAATGCTGAAGCGAGGACAGTTGAGCAGCGGATGGTTGCGGAGATGATGAACATTGGTTTCTTCGATCTCACAGAGCCTTGGCATTAACTGCAGAGAGCGAACGAGGGAGAGATTTAATGTCGTCCCATGTGACACCACAAATAGTTGTCATTGCGTTCGGATTAGACTCCAGACATCAATCATTCTGGATTTCTACTTAAATTGTAGGTAGAAAAGGGGTTCCTGATTAGATTCGTTGCAAGTAATTGGAAATCAATGAATATTTTTGTTTAGCTACGGTGGATGATACAGGAAAGAAAGGGATAACACGTAGATAAGCCTACGCCATGCAAGCATCTCCAACAGCAGCAAAAGACGCGTGCATCGATTCGTAGACATTGGACAGCCTGCTTTTTTTTAACCTCGACTGGATTTGGTAACACCATCACAGTCCTCCCCCATTATCCACTCTATCAACAAACTGAAGGACCACAGCCGAGCACACGTCACTATATATATATATATATATATCTCATCTCAGAATCTAAAACTTGCAAGCATTGAAATCGTTAATTTGCAGTGGGCCTCGCTTCAATAAAGGATGACAGAGAAAAGTGCACTGAACTCCTTCTCTACCTTAATTAATAGACATGATAGAGAGAGTAATCTGTCACTTGCTTTGCAATCCTGACATCCAACCGTAAGACGTGGATGTTGGGGTAATTAGGCTGGTATTGCATCAGCCATCAGGTACAGCTAGTGCAACTACCTGCCTCCGCAGGCCTTAACTGCATCCTAAATGCAGACAAACTCCTCCACCTACCCAACTCATGGGGCAGCTTCGTTTTCCCTTCACACAGGGAAGGCCGGAAGCTGCTTTTGTATCTTTGGCTTCTGTTTAGAGGACGAATAAAAAGGACCCCAAGTTATGGCACTGATCTTACGACAAGCTGTCGCCATGGTTTATACCCTTTTATCTCACGAGTCACCACCACAAAGGTACCGCTTCCAACCCCATAAGAACAGGTCTGGGAAGATTGCTCATTCCTCATCACAAGTATTAAAGAGCACAACACTACTAATTAATGCACATTAGCATTAACCAAGTTTCTAAATCTCTCCATCCGACAAAGAACAAGCATCTGGTCCACAAGGCATGTGAAAACTTCAATGAGGAAGCTTCTTTTCAATATACAGAAAACAAACTCGATGGTATGTGTCTAATTGTTTATAGGTGATGTAAAACAAGCGAATCTTTTTAAATCCTCGGTTTATTCAAATGGCTATCTATACACTCTGACACGCAGAATTATCGGCGCCAAGGATCCTTCTGTTTTGAGCAACCAGAAGGCTACTTGTTTCTTTACACTTGAGATATCTGGGAATATGCTTCTCTTGTTTCCTCCACAGCTTGGAAGCCAGCATTTTAAAAAGGTCTCTCAAGTAAGCTGCCACTGCTGCCACAATGTTTCTGCACAAGAAAACAGGTTCATCATCAAAGGAACATGGAAAAAGGGAGAGACAAAAAAAGAACATCTATAATATATGGTAGGTAATTCACATGTTATTAATTCTCAAAGCCTCCACATTTTGGGACGTTGGCATGGCAAATACTTTTGTTGTTTCTTATACAATGTTCACATTTGAATGCTATTTAATTCGTTCATGGTGTGTATATTTCAATCACCAACAATCACTTGGTTTTCTTTAATATTCTCAAAAAACTATGTCCAGAATAAGAAAAGAACTAATTTAATTGAGATAGGATGCCATCCTCAAATAAGCAATGACAAAAAACATATTTTAAGATCTATCTGATGTGTCTCATGGTTGAATAATTATGATGATATCTGGTTCATAACTAATTTTGATACAGAAATGGGAACACAGTGCCAGTTAGTACAATGAAGCAGTGATGGATGGTAAAAATAAGTTTAAAAATTAAAACACGACTAAGCTCCTCATTGTGTTCTAAGTTGGTAAATGCTTCTCGTTGTGTACAAGGCATAGGTTGTATTAGAACTTTGTGATAAGTGTCTTTTCATTTTTGGGGTAAAGAATCTAAGTGGGAGATTCAAAAGAGATATAATTGATGCAACATCATGCAAAGTAAAATGTAAATTTTACCAAATAAATAAAAACTATCATTCATAAGACTTCAGCAACTCAAATGGAGTTAGTTATGAATAGAAAAAGGTATCTTAATCAGAGGTCATAAACCGAATGAATGATTTCTCAAGAAGCACCTGTTGTTTCCAAGTTCATAGCCCAGTAGTATGCACTAAAGATTTAGCAAATGCAGAAGAGTTGATAAAACTTTTTCACGGAATCAATGACTAAATTCTTCACCATATTTACATATAGTTGGACTTTCGAATGCCACAAATGACCCCAATTAAGAATCCCAAATTCTTAAAACAAATACATGTCTACCAGCTAAATTATCATAAAATTTGTATGGAGCAGGAAACAGAGCAGTATCTGAGTCAATTAGCAGTTCAAGCATATTCAGTGATCACATTTAGGCATAATTATCACGGCTAGGATGGTCAAAGTAATTCAACACCAGAGACATGTGAAATATGTAAATATGCAAAGTTATCATGAGACAAAAGTAAGGAACTTTCTCCAAGGGAACAAAAAAAGCAAATTCTACTGCTTAATTTGCATGTTTCTCATACAATAAGCACAAAAATTTTGACTAAAAAAGATACAAGGTATCTAACATACAAGTAACAGCCATCACTTCCCAGATTTAAATTAAAACTTAAGGGAACTCATGCAAGCTTTTCTCGTTGGTAGTTGTAAAAACAAATGAGTAAAAACAATATATTATTTATATATTATTTACATGCAAATCAATAGATGAACACATCGCATCACCAAGATGACTAGTAAAAGGAATATATGTAAAATACACAACTATTAGTAAACCACACCATGTTTCCTATCGGAGATATATACTTACAATGGAGAGCAGAGAGAATGGCCACCATTCACATAGTAAACAAACAGATATGAATCATAATGCTGGCCATTAATGTAATAAAACTTCTGCAACCGTCTTACGCACGCAAACGACATCTTCTCATAGAAATGTATGGCTGGCAAGTTGTAGGAAATGACATGCAAATACACTGCTCTACAATTTGTGATGCTTGAAGCATATTTGATTACCTCGCAAACAAGCGAAGTAGCTGCAAATGCCATAGTGAGATTAGCATAAAACACTATCTGGTGCATAAAAGCAATTAATAAGCTAGACAAGGTATTGACCGATCCCATGGTTTCTATAATTCTCCACCACACCAAGTGTCAAGATATAGACTAGCATTAGATCTTGCCTTGAGGCATTATACCTAAGCAAATCTGAAATCTGCATGACCAACATAGAACAATACAATTGTTACTGTGAGAAACATGTGCTGGAATGAAAATAAACATTAATCTCAGACACCTCGCTTTCTTTTGCTGACATAAGACGTGTTGTGACGAATCCAACTAGTTTATCACGGCCGCCATCCGACCTGCTAACATCAACAGCAGCCCAAGAGACTATTCCATGTCCTTGCACCACACTGAGGAAGAAGTCTCTTTCATACCTGCAAACATTGTGAAAATTTATCCTGATATCCATGACCACAATGACGACTTTAGGTAAACAAAATTTCTTCTGAAGTGCTATTCTGACAAATCAAACACTGAACACAATAACACATTAATGGGATACCTTATAGGAAATAAAGCTACATGGATCTCCTCAAGGACTTCAAGATCAGAAGGTAGTATTGGCCTATATATGATAATTGGTTGATGAGCACCTCTTGGTTCCAACATTAGAAATTTCACTATTATTCACTGGTAGTGAGAGAACATTGAAGAATAGAGTAAAAAGCTCGACTTCATTGATGCCACATCTAACTGATGAGGTTGAATCTTTTTATCTCCCTACAAGAGTATGAAAATCATCAAATCATTTGAATCTCCTAAGAAAAAGTGGCCAAAAAAAAAATCCTCCTAAGAAAAAATAATCATGCTTTTCAGACCCTTAGGCCTTATCTCACAATTTGGTTAAGATATTGGTCATAAATTATAAATAGTGTTTACCAAAAGTATATATCTATCACCCATGAAGATCAACAAACCCATGCGTGCTTCTATAAACAACACAAGCTACAAAGCATACCTAGACAACACCTCATACATCTGATGGTATATTTGAAAGTGGCTTAGTTAGTGGCTAAATAAATTTGAATTATAACTTCATTATGAGATGAAAAATGCTCTACCTCATATACAACATCATGTTGGCCAAAACTCACTCCAAAATGAACTTTCCTTCCATAAACACATGTTCATGACTAAATTCTAATAACTTCCTAAGGTGGTTGCATGCAGCTCCACTGAACTTGTCAACTCTAAATTTCAAACAATATTAACAAAATTAATGTCTGATATTCCTTATTTCTCAACATAAATAGATACTATATGTATGCTCATTCGTATAATGAGCAATCTGAATCTAAGTGTCCATATCCCAGTTATTGTTTACACATTAAATCAATAAAAAACACTATACATAGAGGATTAATTTGATTGACAGAGGTGATCCATTAAAGTACACCATTTTACAGAAAATTCCTCTGGTAGGCAAACTCCTACAGTTGAATTAATGACGACTTGTCTTTTCCCAATGTAGGTGAACTATACCACATCCACATATTCTCTCATATGACCACATCACACGATGCTTGCGTGGTCCCCATGATTAGAACAGAAAGAGAAATAGAGGGAATGAGAAGAGTGGGATTAGAGAGGAGAGTAAGACTAGAAGACAAACAATGCAATTCTTTTTCATTCAATTTCTGAACTGTTTCATTCAGTGAAAAGCTTCATTATTTATAAGAGTTTAGGAGCCTTAATATAATCTATGAATACAATGATTCCCAAGAGTAATCTCTTAGACTCCCTTTATTTGACTTACAGGAAACTTGTATGCTTTTTGAAAATACAAAATGTGACTTCTAGAATCCCTAAATAGATTTTAAAAACTTATTACAGCTGATAAGAAAAAAAAAGTTCACTTAATATAAAAAAGTATAATCCCAAGGTTAACACCTAGAAAGACCAAAAACTCTTCATTTTTCCACAACTCTTAGAGTTTCTAGACTAACTAATTTATGACTTTTTGTTGATTTCTTTGCATGGAATAAACTCTTCTAAAGTCCTTTATATACCTAGATGATTCTCCATCATTCTCTCCCAATGAAAACAAACTCAATCCTACAGAGTGGTCTGCAAGGTACTAATCTAATAAGTCTAGTGCAAAGTCATGTAAGTTCTTCCAAAGTAATCCAAGTGGCATCAAAAGTTGAACGGTCATGCCATTTTATAAGAAAATGTTGAATGACGCTAGTGGCAAACATAACAAGGTGATCATCAAGAATGGCCTCTACGTCATCCCTGTATTGTGGGAGAGTTGGTGTTTTAAGAGTATTGGCACCTACAGGAAGACTGTTAGACATAGAAGGAGACTCAAAAGCACTATAATATGGAGTTAAACCCTCCACATTAAAAATTGGACTAATATTTAAGTCAGAAAGCAAATCGAGAATATGTGCATTCGAACCCAATTTTTTGATAATGGGGAAATGACTAATGCCTCAAGCATACAACTTTTTGAATGAGTTTTTGAGAATCTCTTAGGGCAAATGCGAATAAAGACAATCACCAACTTGAAACTCTTGACTTCTATGATGTGCATTAACAGCAAATTTATAACTTCCATTAGTAATTTTACGTCGAATCTCAACATGCAAATCATGAATATGTTGAGTGAAGTGGGTTGGTTCTAAAACATGATAGTCAAATGGAAGGGGTGCAAGGTTAATGGGTGTGCAAGGAATATAGTCAAGTGGGAGGGGCGCAAACTGCAAAGTCAACGAGCAAGCAAGGAGTATAAGTCAAAGGGGTGCAAGGTCACTGGGTGTGCAAGGTGTATAAGCGATGACAACTTCAAATAGGTTTTTTCTAGTGGAGCAATTGACTGAGGTATTATATGCAAACTCTATCGTGGGTAAGATTAAGACCCAGTTTTTCAGTTTTCTCCCAACTAAACATCTAAGAAGATTTTCCTAGGAATAGCTAACCTTGATTTGATCATCAGTCTAGGGGTGAAAGGCTGAAGTGAACTTCAACATTGAGCCAAATAGTTTCCACAAAATTTTCCAAAAGTAGACTAACAAATTTTACATTCTTATCATACACCATGGTTAAGGGCAAACCGTGTAACTTAACCATTTTTCACAATCTTATTGTACACCATAGTTGAGAGCAAACCGTGTAACTTAACCACTCCTCGAAAGGACAATTTAGCAATATATGAAGCATCATCAATTTTGTTACATGTGAAAAATGGTTCATTTTTTAAAAGCAATCAATAACATATATATGATATCAAAAAATTTATCTACAAAGATTTAACCTCAAGAGTTGGGTCAAGAGTAGTGTAAGGGCTAAGAATTTTTCTAGCGATGATGGGCACACACAACTTGTTATCTAGGTTCTCTACTTCAAAAGGCTTGAGATCTAGTGTGTAGTCCTTAGCAGTTAGGGCTCATGGAAGGGACTTAGAAGTTCTTGATTTGTCCTCTTCTGATGAATTTGCTAGTCACAGGATGATGTTTTTACCTTTGAACTGAAAGGCTTAGGTGTTTTCTCTCTTATAATCGATAACATCGAGATCATATAATCAAGACCGACCCAGAAGAATGTGAGCAATGTTCATTGGTAGAACGTTACAATAAATCTCATCTTAGTAATCACCCATTTTTATTGGTACTGGACACCTCTCAATCACGGGTCAAGTGGTTTTGTCAACCTAGGCTACCTTATATGGCATCAGATGTGACTCTACCTTAAGGTTTAATTTTTTAACAATAAATTTTAAAACTATGTTCACAGTGTTACCCCCATCTATAATCAACTTGCACATTCTCTCTCCACTTGGATAAAAGTATGGAAGATACTTGTTATCTTCCATTCATTAGAACCACTAGCGATTGAAAAAACGATACTTCCATTCATCTTCCATTCTCTCTCCGCTTCGGATAAAAGTATGGAAGATACTTGTCATCTTCCATTCATTAGAATCACTAGCGGTCGAAAGAATGATATGGACAACATTAACATGGGCATCTTTAATTTCTAGTGCATATTTAGGTTTCGGGTTCAAATACTTGGTGTACTTCCTCCAGTAGATCCTTTGATTCTTGTTTTAGGGTAAGGGTACATTGAGGATATTGAAAGACAATGTGACTTCTATTATGACAGAAGTGACATGGGATTGAAGGCAAATTAGTTTGAAAATCAAGAACCGAACAAGTTGGACAATTCATGATTGGGCCAAGGGTGTTGCTAGTAGTGGGGGTTTTTTGACTTGATAGAGTCACTTCTCGGAGTAGATTGGGAAATGAATTTATTATCAAAAGGTTAAGAAAATACTCGATGACTTAGAGTTTAAGGTAATTCTCAATCTCATGGGCTCGTCGAGAAGCTTCTTCCATGGTGTTAGAAAAACTAAGGGGGGCTTCTCATTGGATGCCAAACCTTAATCTATCAACAAACTTTCGAACAATGATGATTTGGTCCTTCTTGATTTCACACCTAAGCAAAAGTTCTTCAAATCGAGCCAATATTCAAACATACTAGAAGTTAACTACTTATGGTTTAATAATCGTTTAATTAGTTAGTTCTGAAAGTAGGTTGGTAGATATTTTTCCTTAAGATTTTGTTTCATCACTTCCTATTGAGTGATTGGAGGTTCTCTACGACGTTTAAAACTACAATGGGCATGTTTCCAATGCTTCCTAGCAAACCCTAACTGTTTCAATTTTGGAAACCTCACACCTTCAATATCAATCACTCTGTACCACTCAGAGAAGTCCTCCATACTATCTAACCATTCAACAAACACAATTGGGTCAAATTGGCTATCAAAGTCTAACATATCCACTTTGACTCCTCTAGCTCGTTTCCTAAATTGTCAGCAAACCGTTCTTGTTAGCCCATTACTCGGGTTGGGGGATTTTTAGCATGTTCTAGGAATTCATCGTTAAGGTCAACAACTTAGTCATCAAGAATTGTTGGAGCATGGTTGTGAATAGGTGCCCTATAGGTAGACTTAGGATTTGTTCACAGTAAAGCTTAGGAAGTAGGCAAAATTCCTTAATTTAAAGCTATAGATTATGGAGAATCGATCATTTGGTCAGATAATCAATTCAACATTGTATCATGATCTGTAAGTTTAGTCCTAAAGGTGTCTACCTACTTTGTTGGCTTTGGGAATCAACAAGATTGGATTTGTTTTCACTTCGCCTAGACAGCCTAATCATGATTCTAATGCTATCGATAAATTGCTTTTTGATAATGATGCTATTAACTGCTGCAATGCAAAAGATAGAGGCATAATGATTCAAGTTGTTCTCTCACTTTTTTTCACCTTTTTGGATTAGGGGGCAACTTTCAAGGTTTTAAAGTTAGTTAAAAGGGGGAGAGAGAGAGAGAGAGAGAGAGAGAGAGAGAGAGAGAGAGGGCGATAAATGAAAAAAAAGGAGAAAATGAGGGGAGAAAAAGTGTTGAAAACCATCATCTAACAAAATATATAATTTTTTCGACAAAAAATATTAGCAAAAGTTTTCAAAAAATTACCAGGCTTCAAGAGCTAAGTGGTCCACCAATTCCATAGGGACAATGCAAGGATCTGTGAGTAGCCTCACTGTTGATTAAAGCTTTTGCTGCTAGTTGGGACTTGATGGGATGCAGGGTAGGTTTCTTGATAAGCTCTAATATCAATTGATGTAGAACAGAAAGAGAAGAAGAGAGAAAGAGAAGAGTGAGATTAGAGAGGAGAGTGAGACGAGAAGAGAGAAAATACAATTCATTTTCATTCAAAATCTAAATTGTTTCATCCACTGACAAACTTCACTGTTTATAAGGGTTTAGGAGCCTTAGTACAAGCAATGAAGACAATGATTCATAAGAGTAACCTTCCTTTGACTTCTAGGGAACTTGTATGCCTTTTGAAAACCCAAAATGTGACTTATAGGATACCTAAATAGCTTAAAACAGCTTATCACAGCTGAGAAGAAAAAGAGAGTGCACTTAATACAAAAGTAGAGTCCCATGGTACCAAAAATTCTTCATTTTTCCACGCAACTCTTAGAGTTTCTACATTAATTACTTGATTACTTTTTATTGATTTCTTTACCTAGAAAATCCTCTTCTAAAATCCTTTATAAATCTAGATGGTTCTCCATCACTCCATATGATCAATACTCTGAACAGGAAAATTGAAAAAATGTAATGATACCAAATATGTGGTACCCATATGCCAAACCCATGTACTTACGTAGTGTGTATCGCAAGTGCTATTGTATATGTTAAATATGAGACTTCATAAGCAAGTCAAATATGTTTACGTAGTCGCATATGCATCCCCCATAAGCATGAAGTGGGTCACACACACTGTTATTGTTCCCTCACTATATTATTGATTACTATGGTCTATAACAAATTAATAATACCACATTAATCACTTAGACAAACCTACTATTAGTATTTATTTAATATATTCTTAAATGAGTATGAATATTCATCCACATGTTCCAGATTTTACCATAGTGTGGAACTACCTATTAATTATTTTGCAGTTGACTATTTCTTTGTTTGTAATTAATGATTAGATTATTTAAAGTGTTCTAATATAAGTTCTAGGTGATATCATGATTGTTCGCGTACCACTATCATCTATTGTGGCTGCAACAATTGCCTATCGATACCTAAAACCATAATTATCAAAACCAAACTCTTGATTGATTGATTTGGCGAAGCCTCAAGTCAACGGGTCATTGATTGGACTGGTGGGTCAATTGATTGAACCACATGGCTAATATAAAAATATATAAATAAATAAATATAGAATACAATATAATATTAGAAACAATAAATATCTACAAATGCTAAACTGTTTTTATTTTAGTTTCGATAGCAGAAAATACTGGAAACGTTTTAGAAAAAATATTTATTTCATTCTCTGTTCATTCTCCAACAGAATATTCTTACATGATGCCATAGTATAATTACGTAACATACAAATCAATGAGAGAGAGATCTGAATAAATACTAGAATACAGAACCTAACTAAAACATAAAATGGTGGGCAGTTGAAGCTTTTAGCAAACAACAAATCGCATCAAAACTACTAAGAAAGAAGCAGTAGTTCTAACACCAACTAAAACCAGGAGGAAACAAACTTGACCAGCTGACTTAGTGTTAAAAACAAATTTAACGATGGGATGTATCTAAGATCGAAGAAAAAGAATTTGTAATCAACAGATAAATAAACGGACAAAGAAAAAGGAAAAAGAACCACTTTTCTGCATCTTCAGCTAATTCAATGCCAAGGGCTCATCGCGACCTTCAGCTTTCCATAGAGGCGGGAGAGGGCGGAAGTTGGGGCATGAGGAAGCGAGCGATAGAGAGAGGGTGTCGACATACGGCGTGAGGCAGCTAGAGAGGGAGATAGAGCGGCTGAGTGAGAGGTAGAGAGGAGGGCGGCGACGCGGCGGAGAAAGGGGGGAGCCGGGTAGGGCACGGAGACGAGAGGACCATCGATTACCCCGTTCTGGCAATGGAAAAGACTAACGAAGACCGAGGTGTGCCGTGTGCGGTCTGTCAAAAACATGCCGGTTCATAGGTGTCAGCCGTTTCAATTCGGTTTTCTGAAACAAACGAACCATAAAATAAACCGGAGCTGACGGCAGCTTAGACCCCGGTTTATCCGGTTTTAATGACGGCTTAAAAAATCGTTATATGTGTTGTTAAATATAACGATCGACACTCAAAAAAATTTTGATTATAGAATTTTTTTTTTTGCCTTAGAATTTATATTGAAATTTGAGGATAGGACCAATTACTATCAAAATTGATAAAAAAAAATTGATTGAATGAAAATGAATAAAAAAGATCATGATTCTTCTCAAATAAAACAATTAGTCTATTCCTTTCTTTACATGAAAATATATATATAGCCGAAGAAGAAAAATGAAAGATTATGGAAGAAGAAATTAAAGAATCTTTATTTAGACCAACAACTAAGATAATAAACAAAAACAAAATTGATGAATTTGGGGGAAGAAAAAGAAAGAAAGAATAAATTGATACCTCTACCCGCTTTAATGTTTGTTGCACGTTCGTTCTTCGTTCCTTTACAAAATATCTAAATTACTCGAAACATTTGAAATAGGAGAGAGCACCTTTCGGAGTAGAAAGAGAAATCTCATAAATTAATAGTTAAAATATACATAAAAAATCGATAGAAAATTTATCTGATTTGACACTTTAAAAAAAAACCTAATTCTTCTTCAATTACAGGTACACTTGAATTAATATCAATTCAAGGACAAATCTATTCTTAAGTCCTCACATAAATTCAATGTTTTTTTAATCTCCTAGATTTACTGTAGAAAAAGTCAAGAGTACAAAATATTTTCTCAAATCTTAACACAAGAAGCATTTATATAAACTATATAAATCTTAATTTTTAAAATTTATTTCTCTTTAAAAGAAGTTTTTCTATAGCAAACTTGCTTTAGAATTTCGAAAATACCTATCAACTCCAGTAAGCTGGCCTGTGTAAATATTTTATTCATTTTTGTGTCTCTTTAAGAGAATATATTTTTTTCAAATTTTTTTCAATCTTCATCGCTCACCTTTGTTGAATCTACTCTGATATGATAAGGAGAGAAGACATAAAAATAAATAAATCTAAGAGATTAATAATCGAATAATATATTAGAAAGAAAATCGATGAAAAATCAATGTGATTCAACACTTCATATCTATCGAAAATCAAATTCTTCATAAATAAGTTATTGATACTCTATGACACTTGATTTCATAAATTCAAAAATACTTACTAACCCCAACAAATACTTAATTCTCATCCATTTTACTCAAGAAACTTAACAATATCACAAAAAGATCAAGCAAAGTCATATAACTCGTTTAATGAGTTCAAACATTTAAACACCAAATCATTCATTTGAATTTTACCATTTGGTCTTTTATGAAATGGAAAGGTGTGATTTTTCAAAATACCAAATTGATACATTTTATTTGTCATTAGAAACTAAAACCAAAGAATCATGAATCCAACTTAGAAAACCTCTATAAATAAAAGAATTTTGAGCTAAAGAATCCCAAAACACAGAAAAATTGTAGCTTAAAACCAACAAGAAAAGAGGATCGAAAAGAAACTTGAAGAAATTCATTCTTTAGATTGATATCAACTATTTCAAGACTCCATACAAAGCATCCATAAGCACGTTCTTGATATTAAGAGAATTAAATTTAATTTTAAAAAAATTAAAATCTGTCTCTTGAACATAGGGGTAAAAACAATTGTAGCCTTTAAAATTTTAAGAAATAAGAAAGGTTATACAAAGTTAAAGATGCTCGTGAAGTCGGAGGTTATAAAACTAATGAACTAATAGTGAATTTAATAGATTGTACATAATAAAAGTATATAAATATTGCATTCAAATTTGAGTCTCTCATCTATAAATAGATATGATTTGTTAAAAAGTTAAGAGACTTATCTATGAGAAGAAATAAAATTTTATTTGCCTCTTGCATAAAAGATCACTCAAATTTTCCTCAGAGATGAGAGATGATAAAAATAAATTATAAGGATAAATTATGAGGAGGTGATAGAAAGGGGTTATGAGGAGACTTAAGATGATGTCATTTGTATGACGAACCAAAGAGACTCATTAAAGGATTTAAAGAAAATGGACAAGAATATACTCTTCCTCATCAATCAAGGGCTAACTACACGAAGGGGACTTTAAGACGGCTGCAACCGTCAACACGCTTGAGAGATTCTTTAAAACTCTTTCTAAGGAGTTGAGAAGATAAGAACAATTTCAATCACTTACAGTTAAATTTGAAACTTACAAATAAATGAGTGAAACTTTACAAATAAACGAGTGCAAGACTATCTGAAATTACTTTTATAAGAGTTCTCACCATTATCAATTAACTAAGAAGAAACTCTAATAATATAGAAGATGTTGTTAGGATCGGGAGTCGGCACTAAGAGGGAGGGTGAATTAGTGCAGTGGTAAAAACTACGTCGGTTTGGAAAACTTCGTACGATAAAAAATGTTTCCGAAAAAAAATCGATTTTAGAAACTTAGCTTGAAAGCGTACGTAATGAATTGAAGGCAGTAAGTACTTAAAGAGGTTTGCAGTAAGGTAATAGCAAAAATAAAATACAAACTAAAGAATACAGTAGTTTTAGAGTGGTTCGGTTAACGTGACCTACATCCACTTTCGGCTTCCTCCTCCGACGAGGTCACCAACGTCCACTAGAGGCCTTCCTTCAATAGGCGAAGGCCAATCACCTTTTACACCCATCTTCTCCTTTTACCGGGTTTAGGAGACAACCCTTACAAGCACTCACTTACTCCTCTCTCAAACTAGTCTAACACTTAGAAGAGGGAGAGGAGATCACACAAGATTTTAGCAACGTTTCTTTCTTTTTAAACTCTCTGTGCTTGTGTGCTTTAACCAGGGATGAGAGGGGTATTTATAGGCTTCAAGTTGATTTAAACTTGGAGCCTAAAACTTTTTCATCCCAGGTTCCCCGGGTACAAGCGGTACCACTACCCAGATCTGACGGTACTATCGCCTCGGGGGCAATGCTGGGCGGTACCATCGCCTAGCACCCTGTTAGGGGTGGTATAACTGCCCAGACTGGTGGTACCATCGCTTGACATAGTCTCGAAGACTATGCCACGACGGTGAGACTTCTTGAGCCATTGTTTGGGCCTCTTATTGGGCCCAACACAGTTCTTACATGGGCCTAGCTAGCCCATAATTGGATTGACCCAAATCTAAGTATAATTACATGCTAACTACGAAATCCTAAGACATTTGTTAAGCTAAACAAGTCTCTATGTCTATTCTTCCGGTGAACTTCCGACGATCTCTCGATAATGTTTCGGTGGACTCCCGACAAGCTTCTGGACTTCATGACGATCTTCTTAGTGAGTTTCGACGAGTTTCTCTGGCAAGCTCCGAGACTTCTCAGTTGGTTCCAACAGAACTTCCGACGAACGTCCGGATTTCCGACGAACTCTCGAACTCACAACGAAATCGCATCCTTGACTCCGGGACTTCATTTTGCTT